TCCCAACCCACCCTGTTAACCTACTCTTAACGAACCCAACTCAACCTGCCCAGACCCTAACGAACTCAACCGAACGAACCAAACCAAGACAAGACAGCCCAGCCCACCTGGGCGTCGTGCACGATGTCGAGCACGTCAGCACTCAGGTTGATATCAACTCTGGATAGGAGGACACCCAGGCTGAGACCACCTAAGGAACCACCACCAGCAGCACCGCCAGCAGCACCGCCAGCAGCACCGCCAGCAGCACCGCCAGCAGCACCGCCAGCAGCACCGCCAGCAGCAAGCCGATCTGCGGCTGCGCTGGAGGAAGAGCTCGCCGCCGCTGTCGCTGCAGCACCAGTAGGCGGAGATGACGCGGACGGCGGCGGCTGCGGCGGCCACAGAGCCGGACCGAAATGCGTGCGGTGCTTCCATGACCCACGGGTCATAACAGGTGCACCGTTGGCAAGGCCGTGCACAAGCCCCAAAATGAACTTGACCTGCAGCCAGGAGTTGTACGTCATCCAAAGGCATTAAAGGCCTCATATGCGGCCCGTAGGGCCGTTTGATTCAATGACGTCTTCGACAAGACCAAATTCGATGCCGTTAAAACAAATTTTGGGTTGCAGTAAAACAGGCGTCCTAAACGTTCCCAAGACCACAAAACTGCGGTTGCCGATGTCTCTGGTCGCGTCGCAATTTGTTCGCTGGTGGTTAGAATCGTTGTATGAGCCGTTGCATGAGCCGTTGTCTGTCATTGCCGACGGCTTTTTGGACATTATATAGGAGCTGTAATGCAGTGTATATTGAGCATTTCGCACCTCATATGCAAAGTGCTGCTTGATGAAGCATTTGGGGATTTTCTTGGCATGAGAGATCGTTTGTCGTACGCTCGACGGTAAGAAGGGCTTGTCGCACGTTATCGATCGCTCGTGAAGCGCTCCGACTACGAACAATTACACCATTAACAAATTGCATTCAAAGATCTTTGTTTTTGCTGCCCTTGTGTGACTTCACGTGTGGGTGCGGTGGATTTCGCTGCCGCATCGGGCATCCCGCTCACAATATTCCTTTTAGCCCTAAGGCACTCTCTCCATTATTGGGCTGTATTAGGTGCTATAGCTTAGCTTAGCTGATCAGCGACGCGTACTCTGATATCGACTACTACAGTGCAGCCGCCTCTTGGCAAGAAATCCATGGCAAGAA